TTTAATCAATATGGCTCTATGTCCTGAAGCTAACAAGCGCATGGCAGTTTGTAATTCTCCCTTTTCATTATTTAGTTTGTATCATCTGAGGAACAGTTTGTAAAAGACATTGATTTCCAAATGTCCTTCTCGACTTTCAATTCGGACTTGTGTCAATACTTCCATATTTCATGTAGGAGAACTGGTTATGCGGCAGTACTCATATTTTTCTGAATTTGCTTCTTTTTAAAGATCAGGACAAGAAAGTTTGATTGAAGTAGTAACTGTTTATTATTGTGTATTAGAAATTGAAGTCAAATGGTGACATAACCATCTTCATAATTAGCTTGCTTACATGTATGGTATCCATAGCAACGACCATTTCTAATCAAATGTAAGAAAATTTGGAATCCTCTTAAAAAAAATCTTTAAAAGAATAAATTAACGACATTGACGTACTGCATTTAAAAAATCAGCAGGGCGCTTAATCCCAAGGCGAATTATCTACCAAAAATAAGTAAAGATCGGATGACTCAAAAAACACATTGTCGAAAAACAAAACCTTTTCCCAAATTCTAGTGTATTGGTAGGCAAAAGGGGTCGTGTTCTTTCCAAAGGGCATTCGACAGTTAAGTTTGCTGAAGGTTAGATAACTAATTCAAAAAATATCATTCTGAAACCAAATGTTTGCTCCAATTTAGTTTATCAACATCAGTTTGACATTTACCTTTGAACGAATGACCTAATTTAAAGATCAATAGGGATCTTTATCATTTCATGTTGCATTATCAAATCAACTTTCAAATTGGCTCATTGAACCATAACAGAAATTCGAAATTATAATGCATTTATCTGTTTTATTTTCTGAAGTATTACTGATTTCATTATTTCAAAATAGATGCACATTTGTAAAGAAAGCACATACATTCGGCGAAAATTGTTCTGAAATTTGTATTAAAATAATTAAACATCCAATTATTAATGCAAATATTTTTCTTTGAAATTGATGTATTTTTGATACGTAAATTTAAATTTTAATGATGTCAAATGATAATAGGGTGATCGACTTCGTTTTTACGATACACGTCTTTGAAAGTGCTGTTCTAGGTGAAAAATACCACAAAACATCGAAATAATCGTAATTTCATCGCGTTCTAAGCCGTAAAAAGTCGATTTTTTTTCACCACCATCTAGGTAACAGTTTGGTTAATTTACCAAAAACGAAGTCGGTGACCTTATGATTATTTTATATTAATCAAACGAAAATTTATGTATCAACAACATATCAATTTTAGAAGAGAAAAATCTAGGCATTTGTTATTCGACAAAATTAGGAACGATTTTATGTGCTATATATTCAGCTATAATTGATTAATTAAACTATTTTATGTGCTTTTTAAACAAATGTTAACCTATTTTGAAAGTATTCATTTAGTTCTATTTAAAACAAAAATGAAATGAAAAAGAAATGCGTTATTTTTTTCGATTTTCTGTTACTGTTCAGCGAGTCAAAGTTGTATTAAAGTTTTTACCAAAATCTGTGACATATAAAAATAAAAGGATGTGGTATGATTACCAATGAGACAATTCTCGACCAAAGACCAAATGACATAGAAGTTAACAACTAAAGGTCATCGTACGGCCTTCACAATGAGCAAAACTCATACCGCATAGCAAGGCCCCGAAATGACAAATATGGAATAATTCAAACGATAAAACTAACGGCCTGATGTATGTACAAAACAATAAACGAAAAAAAAATATGATACTAGTACACAACAACAAACGGCAACCACTTAATTGCAGGCTCCAGACTTGGGGTAGGTACATACATACTTATGCGGTGTTAACATGTTTGCGGGCGCACAACCCTCCCCCTAACCTATAGGACAGTGGTGTAGTTTATTTACTGAACCTTGACTTAAACCACCCGTTTATTGATCAATCAAAAGTCTTTTATTTCAAGTTTCTTACTTTTGAAATAAATGTAGGCAAAACATATACAACAAGACATATTTGTATATTTATATCCAAGGTCAACAAACGTTTCTTTGCCTCTTACCTTGAAGGTCGTGTTGTTTATGTATTGCCGACACTATAAACTGTCATATGTATGTTCAAATGTATTTTTAAAATATTTATACTAATAACCCTATTCTTTTTTTCCTTCTTTTTTTGTAGTGACATGTGGTAAGTAATCTATAGAAAACAACTATTATGGATAGTCACAATGACATTAAATAGTTGATGTCACGTGATGGTACGTATTGTAGAAGTCTGCGAGTGAAAATATGATGATGGGATACAACTGAAAATTGGAAGATCTTAGTACTAGAGTGCTGTTTTGTGTAGTCAATTCAAGTGAAAAAAAATTAACACTTCTAGTCTGGAACTACAGTGGGAAATATAGTGACAAAATATTACCTCCCCTGTAAACTTTGAAAACTAGATCTTCTCAATGTTTGTCCCATTTTAGCAAAGACGCTATCAATTATGGATTCACGGAAAAACGTTCTGGTGAATAGTAAAAATAGAAATAGATTGAAATAAAAACAAAACTTCCACTCAATGTTATCATTTCCCTCCTTAAGTAGCAAACGACGAGTACAGCAGGCTATAGATGCTTGGAGTAAAATTTGTTTAAAATGTTGCTATGCGAATAAATTCCTGGAGTACCAACTTCAATTTATTTTTTTACTGTCTGTATACCTCTCTGGAACATGCTAATTATTCGTATATATATAAAGCTAGACCAGAGAAAGTCGGGGACAAATTTCCAAAGGAATCGATTGATATGCAGCAAATATTGGCACTTTTAAAATTAAGTTACTAAGCAAAATCAAACAGACCTTATCTCGATGTAAACATCGAATGTGAATATATCGAGAAGACCGCAAATACCTGTACAAAACTCGAGAAGACCTTTTCTAAAAGTTGTATACAAAATAGTTGAAAGATACGTAATTTATAAAAATAGTTATCTTTAATTGTTTAACCTGCAGACAGACATTTAAATGTTTACATTCACGAAAAGACAATAGTTCTCTATTGAATGTACATGGGACAAGAGCAGACCGGTGTGCTCGATAACTTAGGTGTGAAAAAATAAGCAAACTTTGGGAAATAGTAACATGCTAAGGACTTTTTGGAACACTTAGAAAATTGGTGACCCGAAAGATCTTTCGATTTTGTATGTACATGATTTTTCCATTCTTTTATATTAATATGCAGCAAACTTTTAGATTGGCAGTTTTTAAATTTCAGTTTCACAAGTTTCTAAAGCAATTATCTCGATAAATACTGAACATAAAACATCGTGTATTTGCATGTATATTTCTAATAAAACAGTTTGACAAATAATTTCTTTAAAATGTATAATTATTATTTAGAAATAACTTTTGATCAGTATTGTCACCGGTATTGTTTTATTATTGATTTCTCGACTCTATCATAAGAAGAGTGGGTTTTCTTTTGTTTTCGTTCATTGGATATCCCACTGATTAGAGCTTGCTTGAAATTACATTCCTCCGGAGTAATTGGCTGGTATTGGTATTATGATTTTATCGTAAAAGTATATATTTTTATTAACATGAAAACACAATAGATTTTCGGTAATAAATGTTAGCTATAACTACATGCAGTAACTATATACCATATATGCAAACACTTGATCACGAAAAGCAACAAATTCTAGTCGTATATACAAATATAATTTTGAACAATAATCACCGTTTATAACGCCACATGCGGGTGGAGTGTTGGCTATGTTTTACAAGGGTTGGTATTTCGAAGCAAAGAAATAACGATCGAGTCAAAGAAAGGTGAAGGTTTATAATTGTTAGTGCTAAATCCTATATTGCACAGACGGTACCGAATAATTGTCAATCTTACTCAAACAATTCTAGACGTCCTAAGTGCTCTGTTTTCTCGAACATTTCTCCTCGGTTTTTGTGGTCACAGACTCTAAGACTTGAAATTGCAAGTTTCTAGATAAAATTCATTTTTAGGGACCAGAGTCCGTAAATTTGTATAGAAATTAACTCATATTATAGTATGAGACCTTTTGTCAACAATGGCCCCTCATTGTGGTAGAATATTCTTCTGTATGCAATTTCTAAAAAAAATACTTTGTAGCGTGGGGTATAAATATCAAATGGAACTGGAATCAAAAATAGATGGTATAAATATGCTGCATTAGTAATAAAAGTGTGTCCCAATACAAATTCGCACCTAGTATAAAGACTTTTGCTATCTAATAAACTTATTGTTGCCTCCTAATCAGGTTTAGTAACAATCTAAAAAAAGAGACAGAAGATACCAAGGAGACCATCATAACGACAAGTCAAAGAAAAACACTTAATATCATGGCAAGAAATATAAACAACAACAAAAAATAAAACCTTAGTCTACAAAACATTACACACCAAAAATTGGAGTTGATGTCAGGTTCTCCGGAGGGATAATCACATCCTGCATCACTAGCGGTATCCGTTGACACTTTCGAAGGAATGACAAACTTTGCCTCTGAACCCCTGGTTCAATAGCTTCCTTGTAAGCAGCAACTCTCTTTCATAAAAATCACGATAAGATACGCAAGCTCTGATAGAGATATGTACTCAATTTGAAGGAGCTGCAAGAATGTGGCTAAATTAAATACAATGGTGATCAAAAGCTGAAATCATCTCTGTTGTCATAAAGTTCATATCCTGAATTGCCAACTTCTAGTCGGTGTAAGTCAAATTATGAAGAGAACATAACTGTGGATGCAATATCCTTTATTTCTAGTTCGGTGGAATAGAATCGATCAACATAGTAATCAAAAGAATGATTTAGTGAGAAGAAATCGTCTATAGAGCGGTGCGTGTAGGTACAGAATAATTCTAGCTTCTTTAAATCATTCTTGATAAGCTACTGTATAAAGTCTGTCTTATATGAACAATGAACAGTTTAGCAAAGAGATAGGAAGGAGAGCACAGTTAAAACATAGTAAAATATGTATTCAAACTGTATTATTGTAGACTATTACATTTTTTCTTTCTTTTTCAAGTTCCCTCTACTGATTCGAGTGGATCATCTAATGCTGGAGTCATCATTGCTGTTGTGGTTATACTGTTACTGCTAATAATTGCTGTTGTAGGAGGAATCTTGTTCTACAAGTTTTATTATAAACCGAAGCAAGATGAGAAGAAAAGACTCCATGAAGGTAAATTATACATTAAGCATAGATATAAATTATCATAAAGCAAAAACTTAAACTTTCCTCTTTTCGTCTATGTTTTGGTTACGAAACTTTCCGCATTATTATCTGGTGCTGTAAAATTGGTACCTTTAACCTTTTAAACATCTCTTATGAGGAATCAAAAGAAATATATTCACGGTTCGTAAGAATATTATTTAGAAGATTATCGGTTTTCAACGCACAAATATAAAAACATATTAGCCGCTCAACACGATGTAAAGCTTTTTTGCTCATCGTACATCTTTCGTAGTTTGATATCTTTTTTTCTTGTCCCATCTCTGTAATCGAAGTTTGTTTTTAGATAAAAAAAAAATTTAATTCCAGAGCAAAAAAAACCTAGAAGCCATATTGGAATGATGAAGAAATCAGTGGATGCAGGCATTGGTGGAGGAATTCATAAAGAGAAGATCGACATGATAAATATGGTAGACATGGATGATGATGATGGGATAGAAGGTAGCGTCACTGGTATAAATCCTGATAAATTCCGTGAATATAATAATAATATGAAGCTTAGTGCAAATTTTATTGGCACTTCCACCCCTGCAACGCCCAGTGGTGTCGATGCTGATTTTTCAGATCCTAATTTCGTACCAGAAAATGATACCCCGAAAGAAAAACCAAAGCTAACTTCAGGATTCTCAGCGAACATGCAAGGAACAACAACGAATGAAACGCCAAGAACGGCTGCTGATTTAAACGGCCATATCCCGAATGGGCATATATCTGGAGATATGGCAAAACAACCAGTGAACAAAGGACAGGACAAAAGCGGACATATTCCAAATGGAAATACACCAGGAGATAAAACAAAACAAGCCGTCAATGTTGAGCAGCCAATAGCAGTGACTACTGCAGTCGTGCATAATAGTTCAAGCGGAATCCGAAGAGAAAAATCGATCATGAAGCCTACTGCTAAAGACGGTGAAGCGTTGAATGACAAGCCTATTTTAATTGTACCTACGGAGAAAAAGACGGCAATTGCTACAATTAATCCATATACAGAGGAAAACAATAAAACCCCTCAACAGAATCCACAACCAACAGAGGAAGATAAGCGGGAAGAAAAATTAAGAAAATCCGTATCTTTTGCGACTGATAAACCCGCCATAACTTCAAATTCAAATTCGTCTTCAAATTCAAACAATTCTCCACCTGGCATTTTAAACATGTCAAAGGACAAAACAAGTTTACCTGGAGCCATTCAAGACGTTCCTGACACCCTCATCACGCTTCCACGTGAACGTTCTAACCTTCTTGGTCCTAGGGATACAACATTACCGGAAATAGACTTAAAGAAAAACACAGTCCCAGATATGTCTAACTTTTAAAAGTGTATAAATGAGTATAGTTTTTACCTACATGTACATTTAATTTTTTTTTTATGTTTATTACCATGTTTCTTGTCATTTGACATATATATCAGCTTATGCAATATTTATGACATCCGGACTTATGTAATCGTTCAGTTTTGTGATGTAGCAAACTTATTTCTTGTAATACGAGGTAAAAGTTATTTTTGATGCATTGAGTCTTAGATATGAATGATTTACAAAAAGTAAACTTCTGAAACCAACCAACTCTTGCTTAATACGAAAAGACGAAATTAAATTTAAAAACGTCCTAGCTTTAGTTTAATAAAAACAAATAGAATGGAAAGCAATGTCATGTGAATAAATCTCTACTGCAAGCTTTTTTAATTCACTGCTTTAAAAAAAACGGTGTTACTAGGCCTTTTTTACAACCAAGTTCAGCAGACTTGCCAAATGAGTCAAAATATCGTAGGCTTGAAACGATTCGACAACTTATGATGGACAATGGCAGAAAAAACAATATGACTTCCATTATCAAAAAAATATTACATTTTAAAGACAAGACTTTATATGATTTCTCTCGATTTTATTCAAACTTGTTGCTGTATAAGTCCAAATGACTTCCATTATTAAAAATATATTACATTTTAAAGACAAAACTTTATATGATTTCTCTCGATTTTATTCAAACTTGTTGCTGTATAAGTCCAAATGACTTCCATTATTAAAAAAATATTACATTTTAAAGACAAGACTTTATATGATTTCTTTCGATTTTATTCAAACTTGTTGCTGTATAAGTCCATTTCTATTTTTCCCAATCATTAAAATGCCAACAAGATAAAAGGATTCATGAATCTTAATATTATAATTATGACGCATGGTTTTCATGGAAGAAATCATTAAATCCACTAAACTATTGAGAACTCCACCAAAATAACCCATCTATAAATTGCATTCAAATCTCAGGAACTTAACATGCATTACAATAGTTCACGCTTTACGATAACAAAGCCGAAAACCTGTATTTTAAGGCCTCCTATAGACGGAATAAGCATAGACATACATGTAGATTGGTTCAAAAGGAAGTCTAGCCAACAAAGCTTCAAATAAAACATTTATCACACATTTTAGCAGGAAGGGGAAAACTTATTGTTAATTATGTTATACATACTGTATTATGAAATTTTTAAATCATCTTGGACATTGTAGTTAATATTGTTTCATGTGTATGATAATTTTTATGGTATGCAATTAATTTGCAGCTTTTAACATTTCAATGTTATTTTAAACTATTTTGTGATTTCGAATTTAACAAAAAAGATATTCGTTAAAAACGCATTTGACTAATTAGATTTTTAAGTATTATGAAGTGTTATGCTTTTTGTGTATTGTGTATCTAAAATACTGAACATTGCTTAATTGCCGAATTTGTACTTTTTAAACGAGGATAGCATAGAGTAAACATGCAACATATACTCTCAAATGAATATTTATTGCGGCATAACAATTACTTTTATTACAAATTGGAACATAACAAATATGAATAAATGCGTTTGAAAATGAGTATGAGATAAAAATCATATCAAACGTCAATTACAAATAATTATTGAACAGTTTGAATTTGTACAGTTATGCAGCTAAGAAATCGAAAAAATATTCCTTAATTTCAATAGTAAGTAATCATTTTTAATTTTTACATGTCATGTTGTTTGAGATTTTGTTTGGTATGTATAGAAATATTCACCCTTGATAAACCGAGTTATCAGACTTTGGTCCTTGTTTGGTCCAAAGAAATCGGACTACATAAACGATATGATACATTTTGAATTTTCGTCTGTATTATAGATATGAGGTTCCATATTATGTTGTGTCAGTATTAGAAAAATAAAAAAATAGATTTAGAAAACTTTAATACCATCTCTGTTATATATATTTGTAAATCTCTGATATGAATTTGCACCAGTAGTATATATTATTGTGTAAATAAAAGTTCTATAAAATACTTATATTACATTTGATCAATCACTACAATTTGCTTCAGTATTTTTGATAACATAACAAAATATTACTTTTCCGTTAATAAGCAAAAGCTTCTCTTCGTGTAATGACTTTCAACTTTATTAAAATGAGTCTATTCACATGGAATCAGCATATGGTTCAACCACTTATCATTTTAATATTTTTTCTTGGAATCTTATCAAATAATAAAAATCCTGCTGCCCTTTCTATCGATTCTAGAGGTACTAGATATTTCTTCAATTTAACATCTTTTGGTAACGGTTGGTTCGGCAATACAAATGGCATAAGTTCATACTGTCCCTGATTATTTTCTATCAACAAAACCTTGAAGAAATGTGTTGGAACGGCAACGTTATTTTTACCAATTACTTCATACTTTACATACACTTTGCCATCCTTTTCTCGTCTGCAAAAAAAAAAAAAAAATTGAGTGATTTTCTACAACTAAATAACTATTCAATTGCATAATACGGAAAGTAATTATACTCATGCATTCCGAAGTACATGCAGATGATAAAACGTCATTTATACAACGACTAAACAACACATAACACCTAAAATAACATCAAGATGTCTTCTGTTTTTTTGTGTTGTTGGGTTGCTGTGTCTTTGATGTATACTGCACATCTCTTTCTTCTTATTCCTATAAATGTTCAGCAAAACTTGAAAATTAATAGTGTGTGTGTGTGTGTGTGCGTATGTTTGTGTTTGTGAGAGCAGACCTCACAAATTCATCACCAAAACTCCTTTATGTACATATATGGTCAGTGGATTTCAATGTTATGTTTTATGAAAAACAAACAAAAATCATTAGAATTATCAAATCAATTTGCAGACTGGCATTAACTAAAGACGATTATATAGAGTTTCACCGAAATCCAGGAAAAAAAAAATGCCAATCCAATTGTTTATGCGGCAAAGACAATATTTTACCATAAAAGACACCAATAAACAGCTGCACCATGAGCGCATGATACGCCCGTCGCTTTTTCAATAGATATAAACCAGTCACCAAAGTTTCATGAAATTGCTCAAGGCATTTTTGAGTAATTGTCCGAAAACTGGAAAATCCCCCTTTTTAATGAATAAAACCCCATAACTCGGAAACGTAAAATCTAAAATTTATTGAATTCGAAAGGGAGCTCACATCAATAGACAAAAACAATTCACCAAAGTTTCATGAAAACTGCTCAAGGCATTTTTGAGTAATTGTCCGAAAACTGGAAAATCTCCCTTTTTTAATGAATATAACCCCGTAACTCGGAAACGTAAATAAAATTTATGAAAATCGAAAGGGAGCTCACATCAATAGATATAAACAATTCACCAAAGTTTCATGAAAACTGTTCAAAGCATTTTTGAGTTATTGTCCGAAAACTGGAAAATCCCCCTTTTTTAATAAATAAAACGCCATAACTCGGATACGTAAAATCCAAAATTTATAAAAATCGAAAGGGAGCTCACTTTAATAAATATAAACAATTCACCAAAGTTTAATGCAAATTGATTGAAGCGTTTTTGAGTTATTGTCCGACATGTTGACGACGGACGGACGGACAACGGTATACCATAATACGTCCCGTAAACGGGCGTATAAAAAGCATTAAGAATTTTTTTTAAATATAAAGTACACAACAGCATTATAAAATATTCTGTAAACTGTCCCTAAAATAAAACTTTAAGCAGATAAATATGTCCCGTCGTCTAACACGGTAACGGACAATGTTTTGCTATGGGAATCCCGATTATTCGTTTGTATCAAACATGAAGGCAGGAGATACAAAATGCCATTTAGTGCTAAAGAATCTCTTAAAGTAGTTATGTTTTAAGAGGATTCGAGTTTCGGATTCAAAGTGTTGACAAATGAACGGACAAAACGATCGCTTTATACACCGCTTCATTAAACGAGTGAACAAAAATGTAAAATTGGTACATGATCAATATGTAAATGTAAATCAAGTTCGATACCTCCCCATTTTTAATACTTTGCCATCTACAATTAATCATGCTAGAAAACATTTGCTTAAAAGTTAAATGAAACGAGAAAGACACCTTTCATACTTGCTATTAAAACAATTCTAATTGCAAAAAGCAGGTTCTATAGTCTTAGATTTTTATAGATTACGGCAAATATGAACTTTATGGATATATGTGTTCATTATAGTCAAGTCGGTTCGTTCGACCAATTTCCCCTGAATTTATTTCAGAACAAGGCCATTTTCAAAAAGTCTTGATTTTAACTAAAATTCATAGCATCATAGGTCCATGTTTGGATAAATCACCAAAATATACACGCGTGATGACCTTTTGATTGTAGCAAATACAGTGGAAATTGGCTTTCCTTACTAACTGTTAGCTGCTTATTTGTATGCATGAACATGTAATATCTACAGCTATCTAGACATTCTTTGATATGACCTCCGAGGCTCGGCAACTGTCTCGAGGATCGCCTAACTGTCGTCTAAAAACTAGAAATACTGCCACTATGAATATCTCCAAAATGGTACAAACAAAGAGGACAATAGACAATAAAATGTCTCTTCCCACAAATTTCTAAAAGTAAAATTAAATATAGCCTAGCTAAAAAGACGGATTCAATTACGATTATGTTTTTTTTTTTCGTTCTTCCGATGACCATTTATTTAGAAACGTGTACTTTATATACAAAAAACAATATAAAACTCTTGATCGCTACAATGTTTTCTTCAAAAATAACTTATATCATGTTACCTTGGTAGATAGAGGGGTCCTGTACAACAGTATAAATTCCTGTTTTGTCTGGCTTTCGCTCTAACGTATTTTTCTAAATCATTCCAGGCATCTCTATTGAACCCATCTCCAACCTATTCGAAAAATAGTTGACATAATTAATAAAAATAAAATTTCCTGTACAACAATTTAATTGACAAAGCTAAAGGACAATTCAACTTGAAGTACGATTTTTTTTTATAAATTTAGCATTTTGAAATTTACTCAATTTCTGTGTATGACCTGGCTACAACTTTTAAACATGCCTATTTCTGTAATATCCACTTTGCATACCATATATGGATAAAAGAGTGTGTGGAATATTGGTCAATAAGAAAACAACAGTCGAGTTATACTACATTGTACATTCCTGTCTATATAATTCCTTAAAGGAATACGCTGTTATTTTATAAACTCAGTCAAAATTTACAGGTATGATAAATACACTCATCATAGATACCAGGATTAAAATTGTATACGCCAGACGCGTGTTTCATCTACAAAAGACTCATCAGTGACGCTCGAATCAAAAAAATAAAAAGGTCAATAAAGTACGAATTATACTAAAACTCTGGAATAATATTATTTTCAACTGCTTCTGAGGAGCTAAAAGCGTGCCCTCATAACAATTCAGTTAGAGAGCGATTTTATAACCATTCGCCATCCCCATCGCCTATCCGTCGTCATTTGCAGTTTTCTATTCACTTTTCACATTTCCAAGTAGATGTTAGCTTACATTTGTGTGTGTATAGCTGTAAAATGAGCATTTTCAAATCTGTTTTATTGTGAAGTACAACCAACAATACTATATTGTACTAAGGACGGTATGATGTTATATAAGCATTTTTTAAGTATTTTGATCTTGCTTTTATTATTGCCATGATTATATGTTTAAGTTCAAGATAATGATATAACCTTTCAGGCATCGATCATTTATCTTTTGTTGGCGGAGGGGGGTTGTTTGGTTTCTTTATAAAATAAATTCTTTGATTCTAAATTTCTTGAAATAAAAATATTTCAGAAGGGAAATGAAACCACAATAGTTTGTTTCAATTGAGAATAAAATAAATACACATTTAAGTTCTTCCTGTATGTTATTGAAAAAAAAAATTGACGCGTCTTGTTCACCAATGTGCTTAATTAATTAAAAGGATTAGGTTAAGTTTCGCCTTTTATCTTAAATGAAGTTTTCACTTTCGTGTATTTATATCTTTTACTAGTAAATCTAAAAATCTTCATAAACCTTTTTTGAATAAAATTGTTTATCTTTTTAGCAAGCAACGTGACATCATGGCCTACCGAAATAGTGACTGTCTGCTTTATTATTGTATGGTTCAACCGAATCACGTTGTAATTTCTAAGATCCTGCATGTATTTATATGTCAAACGCCAAAACACAAAAATCTAAATAGTACCTGTGGGGATACATTGCTGAGAGTAAAAGTCTGGTCCATAGCTTTCTGCGCGTGGCGATGGTTAGCTGCCGCTGCAAGATGCCCCCTGTCGTAGCCACTGTTTTTGAAGTCACTATTTGTAGCCCGGAAGAATTTGTGTATGATGTTGTCTTCCATAAATTCTGATTTACCTCTCTTTATGTTTTCATTCTTCATAACATGTTCTGGTTTGATGTGTTCAAATACCCACTGAGCATTCCGATTCCTTCTATCATAGGACAGAACAAAATTGTCAAAAGATCGGACTTGATCCAGACTAGGAAAGCCAAACTTCATGATTTCTGAAACGCGATTTACAGGCTGCGATTGTGGAAAAGCTGCAGGCATACCTGTAGTGGCTGGAATAGACGATGAGGCAAAAACTGACGGAACGAAAAATGCTTTGGTGTCGGTCTGTGGTAATAAATGAGTTTGGTGATCTTTATTTTCCTTCTTCAGCTTTTCATATTTGGTACCAAAGAATAAACCAATTCCCATAGATGCTCCACAAAGGCTTGCAGCTGTTATAAAATGACCTCTTGACATTGCATAAATAATCCAATGTCAACACTGACACAACGTGCTAGATAATGAACCGGATGTACAATACAATCCAAACTCACTACTGGTGATTAACCTGCGGAATATTTATTTTATTACTACGCATTTATATATATGAATTTATTTTTATTGAACGTTCTATCATCAGCCTTTTTCAGCCGCTGTGCTCGTTTTCTTGCTACATAACAAAAATGATAAATTTTCAGTACCATATATTAGGGAACGACCATTTAACTTCAAAAAGGGGGGTTATGGTTTTTCCTAAAAAAATATTCTGATTCCCAATTTGATGAAAAAAATATTGTGGTCAAGCAGATAACAAAAAATAATTTTCTGACTCAGACAAAAAACCATACATGTATCACAGACTTTTGAAGACTTACAGTCGTTATCAAATTATCTGTAAATGTAGTGTTTCCTCGTAAAAAATTATGTTAGACGATAAAATATTTCTCTCATTGTATTTATTTTAATATCTTTAATAGAAAAAACAAAACAAACAAAAAAACAAATACTTTATTAGAGTCTCACCTCTTTAGAACATTTGACATAAAACACCATTTAATAACAACAGATCAATTTATAAAAGAGTTATGAGAGACTGTAAAACACACATTAAAAATACATTTATATTACATATATCACATATATCAATATATCTAAGCATAAACCACCATAATTTTAAAAAGAAATTCTTGTGAAATACTCACTGATTTAGAAAAACATATTGTTCTTTCGCCCGAAGTTCTGACGATGCTAAATACCTACTGGCCTTACACAAATACTTCTGATTTCAATTAAAATTTATTATGGGACCTCATAAAACCTGTTAGAATTGTTGTTTCTGATTGTTTTCTTGAGCGGTCGTATCCAACCAAAAATGGTAGCTACCTTAGCTAGCTTCCAGTAGTGGTGAGCACGATGTGACCCGGCTGCTTTCCAAATTATGTGTCGTTTCTTTATTCAAGTAAGGGGTCTTTCTGTTCATCACATTGTGTACCTGTACCCAGTCTGGTGGGGTTTTTTTTCGGTGTTCGTGGTTAATGTGGTCTCTTGTACTGTCCAGTGGTTTTGATGATTTTAGTTATTCCTTTCATGTATTTACAACTTTTTACTTCATCTCGACTCAAATGAACCAATATAAGCATTTTTCATTATGTTTCATTTTTGTTCGTTCGTCGCGGTTTTGTTAAAGGTCAAATATGAAATTAGCCATTATCATATCATTTTTAATTTGAACAAAAAATAGAGACTAGTTAATCTAGTTTTGGAGTATTCCTTGCTTGCCGTTCTTGAGTTATAATGTATGCGTCTTGATTATCGAGAAAAAGGTTTGATAAGGTCAATATGTGATCTCTTGAAGTCGAACATCAAAAAGTATTATGAATGAATCTATCAAATATCAGCCATTAGATTCATTTTTTTTTTCATTTAACAAAATAAAGGACAATTTTCTAAACTAAACTATCTGTTGAAGCATGGGCATCATCAGGGGTTTTTTTTTTAACTTGTATCTCTGTTGCAACTTGGATTTATTTGATCGAGAGTAGAATTAAAACACAGGACTGCAATACTATTAGATTGAGATTCGCTTATTGTTTGTTATGGCCAAGTCATGCAATTTGAGAAAAATAAAACTTGGGAAAAATTGCTATCTTATCTCTTTACTTACAGAACAAGGATTTGTGAAAGAAGATAAACGATCAATTTGTCTACGTTACGTGCAAGCTGTTTCGAAATGAAATTGTTTATTTTTATATTGCTGATTGCAGAATTAGTATATGTTAGAAGGTCAGTTTATAATATATCTTTGACTACTCCAAAAAGTGAAAAGAAGAATAAATCTGGTAAAAACCAAAACAGAGCAAACATAAGTACTCATTTTTTATAATGTTCTTAAAGTTACGGGAACGTTTTTCGGTTTCATTTTAAAACATTGAAATGCATCGTTTTGATATATATATATATATATATATATATGAAAAGAACAAATTATAGCAATAATACTAGATTCTTTAAAAATTGTATTTGCTGATCTATTCATCTTCAAAAAGAAGAGAATATTTAACTTCTCTTCTATAGGAGGTACATCTGATCCACGGGAGAGTCGTGTGTTTGCTAAAAAAAAAAAGAAGATATTAATGATGTTCGATAAGAACTTCAGTATGAACCAATATCTTACAGGTTTTTCACGTATTCATGAATTGACAACAAAATTGAAATCGCTTCTGTTACATGAGTATATGGAAAGCGTTCAGAGTGCCTTAAGCGAAAGATAAAAGCGTGTCTTGTTAGTGCTCTCGGCATCTTAGGTAGCTGAGTCTAGATTTTGTTACATTTGATATTTTCTTAATCTGAATTTAATTTTTAAAAATATATCCTTTAAATTATTCTGCTATGTAGAAGTAATTATATCAGGAAGGAAAGTAGACTCCATGGTGCAGCGTTTATTACTTGCCAAAAATTAAAAATGTTCTAAAATTAAGATGCACAGAAATTTTTTTTTTTTTGAATTACCACTGATAATCAAAATAAAACTTTTAAAAACGTTATTTTACTTCAAAAATATTACAGTTAGTCGATTATAAGTAGGTACATGTATATGTATATTTAATTTTAGCCAAACGACACAAGGGTACTATGATCTGAAAGCTTTGAGTGTTAAGGAATTTTTGCGGTTTGATGCCAATCATGATGGAACCATTACATTAAGTGAATGGGAAACTGTGCTCAGAGGTGACGACGATGATGGTAAGTATACTATGTGCTCAGAGGAGACAAGACACGACGTTGACAGTACGTACAGTATGTGCTCAGAGGTGACGATGAGGATAATATCTACAGTATGTGATCAGAGAAGACAACGATGATGGTGGGTACATAATGTGCTCAGAGGAGTCGATGATGATGGTATCTACAGTATGTGCTCAGAGAAGACGACGATGATGGTAGGTACAGAATGTGCTCAGAGGAGACGACGATGATGATAAATACAGAATGTGCTCAGAGTAGACGATGATGGTAGGTACAGTATAAGCTCAGAGGAGACAATTATGATGGTAGGTACAGTAGGTGCTCAGAGGAGACGACGATGATGGTAGGTACAGTTTGCGCTCAGAGGAGACGACGATGATGATATGTACAGAATGTGCCAAGAAGAGACAATGATGGTAGGTACAGTATGTGCCAAAAGGAGACGATGATGGTAGGTACAGTATGTGCTCAGAGGAGACGATGATGATAGAAGTTACAGTATGTGCTCAGATGAGGTGACGATGATGGTAGGAACAGTATGTGCTCAGAGGATACGACGATGATGGTAGGTACAGTATATACTCAGAGGAGACGATGATGCTGGTAAAAATAGTAAGATACGACGATGATGGTAGGTGCAGTATATGCTTAGGGGAAACGACGATGATGGTAGATACAGTTTGCGCTCAGAGGAGACGACGATGATGATAGGTACAGAATGATCCCATAGGAGACGATGATGGTAGGTACAGTATGTGCTCAGAGGAGACGATGATGATGGTAGGTACAGTATGTGCTCAGATGAGACGACGATGATGGTAGGTACAGTATGTGCTCAGAGGGAGACGACGATGATGGTAGGTACAGTATGTGCTCAGATGAGACGACGATGATGGTAGGTACAGTATGTGCTCAAAGGAGACGACAATGATGGTAGGTACAGTATGTGCTCAGATGAGACGACGATGATGGTAGGTACAGTATGTGCTCAGCGGGAGACGACGATTATGGTAGGTACAGTATGTGCTCAGATGAGACGACGATGATGGTAGGTACAGTATGTGCTCAAAGGAGACGACAATGATGGTAGGTACAGTATGTGCTCAATGGAGACGATGATGACGGTAGGTACAGTATGTGCTCAGTAGAAACAACGATGACTTTAGGTAGAATATGTGCCCAGAGGAGACGACGATGACGGTAGATACAGTATATGCTCAAGGGAAAGATGATGATGGTAAATACAGTATGTGCTCAGAGGAAACAATGATGACGATAGGTACAGTATGTGCACAGAGATAACGGCGAAGACGGTAGGCAAGTGTTTGCTCAGTAGATACGACAAATACAGTAGGTAGAGAATGTGCGCAGCTGAAACGATGATAACGGTAGGGAAAGTATGTGCTCAGAGGGGGACGACGATGATGGAAGGTACAATATATGCTCAGAGGAGAGAATGATGTCGAAAGGTACAGTATGTGCTCAGAGGAGCAATGATGACTGTAGGTTCAATATGTGCTCAGAGGAGATGACGATGCTGGAAGGAACAGAATTTGCTCAGTAAAATTGACGTTGACAGTAGATACAGTATGTGCACAGATGAGACGACGAGGAGGTGAGATTGAAACATCAACTGATGATTCAAATTAACTGTGTTCTGAGGGTTACAGTAAAATTGTTGACGTTTTATACCTGCGTGTAGTTTTGTTGTACTTACTTCTGAAATGCACGTTCTAGACCCATATTCTTAACTGTAGAATATGATATTATATATATAAGTCTAAATTGAAAACAATATATATATATATATATATAGACATACAAATTTCTTATAAAATATACATAGCTTATAATTATATATCGGTCAACACTGAGTAAATGCATCAGGGAACAGAGCTATTATTATCTCATTTTGAATATAGGAAATAATGTCAAGACGGAGTTTATATCGTATAAAACTAATTATAATGTTTTGTTGTATTGTTTATTTGCATGACAGTGTTAATGTGTTAGTGGCCATTTGTCTTGTAACACAGAACCTTACACCGAGAGAAAAAGACTTTCAAAAAGATAGGATTATTTATATAGCAAAACAACATGTATACATGACGTTAGAATGTTCTTCTGCATGAGCCAACATAATTTGATAAAGTTCACACTTATTAAGTGTCCTGTGAACTTTCGTGTGTTCATTTCTAAGATGAGTCAGCATAGTAAAGTTGATACCATTGTAAGGATCTGAAACTGCATAATGGATTTA